CTTAAGAAATTATATTAAATAGTAATCATTTAATCAAGATAATTTAGTAAAATGATTCTGGATATATCAAATTGATTTAAAGATAAAGTATAGCGATAGAAGAAAAAAAAGAACATTTGGTTTAGGTGAGATTGAATTTTATTTTAGTTTTGAAAAATTATTCTTTAAGAATATGTGATTTTTTATTTTATTTTTTGAGGTTTCATAAGTAAAATATAGATTTATATGTAATATAGAAAAATACTATGGAATGACGAATTAGAGTCGATTGATCAATAATTAGGAGAAGTTGGGAGTAGGAAAGAAATAATGAGCTTAAAATATTATTTTATATAATTTATTTTTTTCTACACTATAAAAAAATGTCATTTTCCAAAAATAATAAAATTAAATAATTATTACTATCAGATAATATAAATGATAATATTTTTTTGTGATTTGTGAAACTTCTTTTTTCATTTTGCAACTTGTAGTCCAACCTGAGCAGTACTATTGAAAATGAAATATGAAGTTCAACTAATTAATTAATTATACATGTTCAAGTTCAATTAAATGTGACAATAGATTTTCTATATTTATAGTAGTAACGGATTTAATATTATTGTATTTAGAGTTGTAATAATCTTAAATGATATACTTATGTTTATGAAAAAAATTATCTAAATACATATCTCATTAGATTATAATCTTTAAAAAAATTGGCATTTAAAGATTTATAAAGTTTTTTCTCAGACATATTCCTTTCCTTTCTGATATTTTTCTATTCCTTCTCGTCCTATTAAATAATGTATCTTTGTAATCTGTAAGCTATGTAATCGTAGGTATTCTGATATATTCGAAATATTTATTTTATTTTATTTTTTTGTAATTTAAAAAAGAATAAGGTAAGATATATTAAAATTTATGTGATTTTTTCATTATTTATTATATATCACTAAGTATAATTTAGCAATGAATATATTATTGTCATTTACCATAAAATGTTTAACATTTTCCAATTTGCTAATCCAATTGACTTTGTACTTTCCAGAGAGATGATTAATTACAGCTCAATTGTTCAACAATCAACTAATTTGGGACCCAAAATAAAACAAAAAACCCCATCACATTAATTAATAGCCATAATATAAAAAAGTCTACTCAATGTCAATTTGATCTAAAAAATAAATAAATTAGTTTATAACCTGACAAATTCCAAGTTGCAAAAGGTTCACTGAATTTCAGATTTTGTAACAAAAATAGACATCCTAACATAAAGACCCTACCCTACCCTCATAGAAACTTACAATATTAGATATTGAATCGAATAAATTTGGTAATATTTATTTAGATTATATATTAAATATTTTTATGAATATTTAATTGTTCAATGACATGCAATAACATATTCATGATAATAATAAAATTAAGAAGGTTTTCGATACATTCAACTAACTCACAGTGTATATTTGAGAATTCATAAATTTCTAACTCTGATTTCGCTTCTGACACGAAGAGGAATGAAATTCTACTATTTTCTTCGTGTTAATTTGTTTTGACCTACTTTTCTTTTTAATTCATTTAAAAAAAGTGATTCTTTAACAACTCTTTAATTTCAATTTTTCACGTGACATTTTTAAATTTATAAGATTAAAAGGTATTTTAATACATTTGACATATATATTTATTAAAATCACAAAATTTTAAAAAAGAAATTCTTAAATTCTCTACTAAATCAAAGAAAATTAAACAAATTAAATTGGAAAGAATATTAAATTTAATTCAAACCATATACCCATCCATTGGCAGCTGGTTCTTTTAGATTTATGGAGTTGCTTCATTGAAGAGATTAGACCGTTACACAATACACAAAGATGATATTTTTGCAAAAAAATATATAAATAATAATCTATATTTTGTTCATGTCTTCATAATAGTTTGTGTGTCGAATTCAAGATTTGATATACTATGAAATATGAACTGTACTTTGAGAGTATTAATATTTAGAAATACATAAATAAATTTATTATTACTACTACTATTACCACTATTATTATTATTATCATTATTATTATTGTTATTATTAGAGAAAAGACATAAAGACACCATCGAAGTTGTCCCATATTTGCATAAAGACACCTAAACTTTTAAAGTGTCCTATAACACCACTAAACAACTATATATCGTTGTAATTTGACCATTTTTACTCATTTCGTTGTCTATGTAATGCGCGTGTTGTTCACTCTCTAGGTAATTCGACCCGACTTTTTTTTTGAAGAAAATTCGTGAACTCCTTTTCATTTCATTTCTCAACTTTTCCCTAAAAAATCAAACGAAATACACAGTGTTGTTGTTGACAATCTCGTTGTTGATCATTGTTGATCGTTGTTGATGTGTATTTGTGAAGATTCTTGGAGATTGAAGGTCTAACATGTTAGGGTTCTAAAATCTTCACTTTTTTCGATTATTATGATTTTATGGATTGTTATAGTGTAGAAGTGTTAGAATCGACCTCCTACAGTTGCCATTGTTACAAATACGATTCAACATTGCATTTGACATTTTCAATAAAAAACTAACCACAAAATTGAGAAGAAATTCAACCATAGAAAAACTTCAAATTAACGTTTATACTGTAAATTAAAAGAGAAAAGACGAATTCCTACCTTATTTTCTTGAGGAAGATGATGAAGTCATCAAAAAGAGAGAACCAATATTGTTCTTGCCATGTAAATCAAAATTTTAGGGCTACCAAAGGCTATTTTTGAGTTTAAATTGGGGAAGATACAAAAATTGATTAAACAATTAATATTAAAGAAAGAAAATGACATGTGGCTGTTTTAAACTGGTAAATAAAAAGAAAAAATGGCCCATGACGCGCCTCTACGTGCGTGTAAACAACCAAGATGAGTTAATGGGTAAAAATGGCTAATTTACAACGATATATAGTTGTTTAGTGGGGTGATGGGACACTTCAAAAGTTTAGGTGTCTTTATGCAAATATGGGACAACTTCGATGATCTTTTTATGTCTTTTCTCTTATTATTATTGTTAATGTTGTTGTTATTGTTATTGTATTGCATGTGTGTATGTACACATACGTGCATATTCTAGCCCAAAAATATATTTTCTTATGCTATGTATAATTAACATGTATGTGCAGAAAAAAAAAACCTTATATATATATATATATATATATATATGAATGATTTGAATCGAAATTATAGTGTTTGACTTGTTTGTTCTAGAATAGTTTTCATTTTTCTCTTTAAATTTTGTGTTCCAAAGTTGAATTTTCCCACTCCATATGTCTTAGTTAATATTATGGTTTAGTAGTATATTCCTCTTAGCCAAGAAGTCCACAACTTTGAAATACACAATTGAAAACAAAATAAATAATAAAATTCACGTTCACCGATCGATATAGTAATAAAAATTCATATCCTACTTTTTTTTTTATAGATTTAATATTCAAATTATGGAATGAGTGATCTTATGTGACGACAGAGAAGATACAATTTATTTAAATATTATATTTGAAAATAACACATTACGATATTATATAATACAAATACAATATAATATGATACGTTATGAAACAGTACGTAACTACCATCCAATTAACAAAGTGAAAGCTTCTTGCTGCTAATTTATATGATCATTTGAGAGTTGACGAAGGTTTGTACCAATTTTCTTTTAGTGTGAATTAAGACAGTTATTTTCTTTCTATTCCATAAATCTACTTAGACAAATATTGAAAAAATATATATTTGACAATGGTGAGGTTTATCTAAATTCTCACGACAAATTATTTCTTTATGGTGTGATTGACTTGTTGAGTTCACATGCAAATTCTTCTCAAGTGTTTTGACTTGTAGGTTCTTAAATAGCTCATTTTTCTCTTCATGTGTTCAATTTTCACACTTTATATATAATATATTTAACTTTATGATTCGTTTCAGTGTTAGAGCTAAAAATTTTATTAAGGGTATTCAAGAATAATGGTGTGTAGCTATTTAAAAAATATGTCATTTGGGGTTCACACCACGAATTTTTTCATTCAAATGGACACTCATTACCATTATGTCTGAGGCGTAACTTTTGTTAAGGGCGTACAATTTATATATATATATATATATATATATATATAAAACTAATTTTTAACGAAGAAAGTTAAATTGAACACCCTAAAATGCGTGTAGCTTCACCACCGAATCATTTGGTAGAATGTACAAAAAAATAATATTTGTGTATTTATAATGTTGAGGCTAGTGTCCTTCGAAATATTCAATTGGTTTAGAGATAATCATTTATACAGATAACCTAGATCAATCCTCTCTCGATATCTTTTGAATTAAATATATCACATATGGTGTGTGGTTGGTGAAAATTGCCAAAGATGAAAACAGTAATAATAAGATGACAATTTGACTTTACCCTTGATGAATTATTGAAATTTGACATTTAGATAAAATGCCCTTTTTTTTCCTCCTTTATTTAACAATTACGTATCACCTTTATTCACATGATTCTATTGTTTGATTGATTTCAAACCTTCTTAGATAATTTCATGTTTACACGAAATAAACCTAAGTATGAAAAATATAAAAATAAACAAGATTCGTAAGTGAAATTTCAATAGTCCATAATTTTCATTATTTTATAGTGAGAAAATCACATAAATATATTATATTTTACTTTACTGATTTGGACCGTTAAAGTCATTTTTATAATATATTACTATTGTTACTTTAGACATTTGAGAGATACAAAGTTTTACTCTATTAATTCATATCGACACTGATTAAGTCTATCTAACAATATTAATATTACTTCCATTGCATATCGAATCCGATCAATTTTAACATGATAAAGAATCGTTAGTCTAAAGAATATATTTCAAATAATAGATGAAGGTAGGAGATTTCAAAAATTAATTAATACGTAAACTAAAGATAAAAATTTATAACAAATGACAAAAAATAAAAATATATTTGAACCTTTTCCTTCAAAATAAACCAACCAAATTAAAATTCATATTTACATGGAAAAAAAAAGCTTAATCAATGAAATCAAAAAATAATTAAAAATATCCATGATTCAAAACACTTCCATTCTCCCTCCATCATTCCATGTTTCTTCATTTGTACATGTGCTATTTTTATCCAAAATTTCCAAGAGGTAAATTCCTTATTACAACTTGAAATCACTTCATACTTGTTCAAAATATTTCATTTTAGAAACTCTCGACTAAATTTCAGTGGATCGACACAATAAAGGTCTAAATCTCAGTGGATTGTGACAGTAATATAGTTCTGCCATAACATTTTAGAAACTCTCAACATAACAAAAGACTAAATCTCAGTGGATCGTGATGGCAGTATAGTTCCGCTATATAATATTCCATAACATACTCAAGTGGATTCTTTTGGGGATTTCACTATGATACCAAAAGTTGAGAATAACCAAAATTTGAATGTGGTGATAATGGTGACAAAGGTGGCACTTCAAAAATACCTTTTCCATTTCCACAATCCCAAATTGAAGACCAATTTGAAGGTGTTAATGGAGTTGCCACCATTTGTTCTCTTTTCACCTCTTTCTTCATTACAATTCCGTCATCATTCTCCATTTCCCCTCTCACCCTTTTCCCACAAGAATTCGTATTCGAATTCAAATTCACAACATTTTTCTCAATCTCATGATTTTCTTGCTTGAAATTGCTTACCTCAAGTGGAAAATTCAAGATTGCTTTACTCCCTCTGAGCCTAAATGCTGCTCTGTCATATGCCATGGCTGCATCCATTGCAGTATCGAATGTTCCTAACCAAACTCGTGTCCCCTTTCTAGTTGGGTCACGAATCTCCGCTGCAAATTTCCCCCATGGCCTTTGTCTCACTCCTCTGTATCGCTTTTTCTCCGAATTTTCTACCATTTTCTCCTTAACAGAGTACTCTGTTTTCACTTCCCCTGTTTTTGGCTCCTCTGTTTTTGGTTCCCCTGTTTTTACTTCCCCTGTTTTTGGTTCCTCTGTTTTCTTAACAGAAGGAATCGAAATGTTTAACGAAGGTTTTCGATCATTGAAACTTCTTTTCTTTTGGGGTTTAGCTTGGAATTCAATAGTTGAGTTATCGAAAAAACGAGAGACAGATTCAAGATTTGAACTTTGAGGTGTATTGATGAAATCAGGATAAACAGAGAAATTGCTTTCAAGTTTGATCTCAGAGGTTAATGATTCTAAAGATTCCGAATTCGATGAGGTTTGAGAATAAAGTGTACTACTTGTTGTTTCTAATGAAGAAGAAGAAGAAGAAGAACAAGTTTCCATGAAAACAACATCATCAAGAAGATGTTGTCTTATCATTTCTAGTGAAGAAGAATCCATTTTTTTTCTTGAAAAATATTGTTGGTAATTGAATTGAGTGGAAAATGAAGAGTGAAAATGGAGATTATAAAGGGTGGAAAATTTTAATTTCAATGGAGGTTTCTTAGGGCCTTCTTGGTTAGAACAAGGAAGCCACTTGTGGGGCTTATCCATTTTCATTTTTTAAAAGTATATATGGGTACACCACTTGTTATTTAATATAATAATAATAATAATGGATGATTAAAGATATTCTTTTTTAATAACAAAATAATAATAATGAAATAGATGATGTTTTTAGTGTAATTCATGATGTATCCTCCACCTATGGACCCCTATTTCTAGGTTGCTTCTTTCATTCTTTTTAATAACATTTCTTTCATTTTTTTTACATGAAAGAATGAAGAAAATTGATACTATAGGAAATACAATGAAAAACAATATATATATGAAGTGAAATTTTATTTAAAGAGAATGATGTGGTTATTTTTTTAATTATATTTTATAAGAATAGAGAGACTATTTTAGATAAAACTTTATATTCAAGTAAACTGATAATATAATAATTATATTTTTATTTAGTATTTTTCATTTGTAATCTACATAAATAGATTTAAAAGGAAATTTTTTGAGAGAATTGGAATGCACCTTTTTGTTATCTATTAAGGTTTAAGACTTATGAACTATCGATAAGCTCTTTTCTTATTGAGAAGTTTTCAGTTTTAACTTTAGAAGTTAAAACAACAATAATAATATATTCAGTAAAATTGAATTTAGATTTTGAAGAGGATAAAGGTATGAAAGGTAGACACATTGTTCTCGGAAGATCCTTGGCTCAAATACAGCAAACTCAAGTGTAGCAATGACAAAACTAAAGCAAATAATAATAAAATGGTGTGATAATCAAATATAAGAAACAAAAATTATAATAATATTAGTATAATGACAATGACAAACACTATTAAAGTAAGAATTTATTTTGAATAATTTTTCTCCATAATATTATACTTGTAATATGAATTGATGGTGTAAAATTATTGCACAACCTTTAAAATATAAAATAGATAATTTAGACTGACAAGTAATTGAACACAATAAATAAAATTAATAATTTGAAAAATAAATTATTATTCTAGTATATAATGGAAGGGATATGGGTTCACATTACTCGAAAGTGACATAGGGTTGTGTTTGGTTCATTCTTGTTGAGTTGAATCTGATGAAAAATTGATTGTCATATCATTTTTAATACATCCAATATTAGAATCGCACTTTAACCCATATATACTTGTACTCCATTTTTTAAAAAAAAAAAATGGAATAGTTTCCCAAACCAAATACTAGTTAATTAAGTAAAAAAAAAAAAAACTAATACTTATAGTATATATTCTTTATTGGTATCCAATCCCAACTTTTTCCCAAAAATATTTCTCCACTTATTTCTAAAACATATATAGCTAGTGTTTATTCCTACATTAACATGAAAAAATGGTTTTACATTAGATATTATTTATGTATATTGCCTTTTTTTATATATATATTTGTGTTGAAAAATAATTTTTAGAATTCAAAATTATGTTTTAATTGCCATTTTGCCTGAATTTTCTTTCGAAATTGGATGAGTGAAAGTGAAATTTTACAAAAGAAAAAAAACTTATCTTAACCGGATAAATTAAATGATCAAATTTCATGGCCAGAAATTATTTCCAATATTTTCTTAAGAACTACTCAAAAATGTATAGTCAAAGGGTGTGTTTAATTTATTTTTTTTATAGAGAAAAAAAATAAGCCAAAGCAAAATTTAAACACTTAACCAAGAAAAGAAAAAAATTATTAGTATTGTCAAAGACATAAAAAGTTGTATCACGTATGTATATCACATGAATAGAAAGTAGCTAGCAAAATATGGCACGTAATCGACAAAAATAGCATAGTTTGACTTTATTGTTCCCTTTTTAAACATATTTTTCAACGATTTTTTATATTTTAATCTGATTTTTGTATTATTATACTTTCACTATTTATAGTAATAGTAACTACTATGTGTATACTTAGATATACTTCACTTGTATTCAACATCAACTCTAACAACGCAATCTCAATAAGTTGTATTGCAGTGGTGAGATTGCTTCGATTTAATTAAAAATTTTAAATTTGAATATAAATATGAAAGAAATTATGTTGGAAGATTCATGTAGAGATAATTGCGACTTGAATGAAAACTCTGAATACTATATCGAAAATCAGTGTTACCAAATATAAACCCTGCAAGCTCCAATATTGGATCCAGAAATTGGGTGGGAAACAAAAAGGCTGTAAATAGCGCAAGTAAGTATTCCTACGAGGCAAAATTAGAATTTAAAATTTTATTTTTTTCAATTATTAAATTTTAACTTATGATTCATACATAACCAATAAAATTTTTAAGATGAATTTAAGTTTAAATCAAAATTATTAAATTCGATAAAACTCGTAACCTGAATTCTGACTCCGACCCTATTTTCAACCACTTGATTAAGAGTCACTATCTTTGCTTTGGTTGCTTTAGTTTTCATCAACTTGATGTTGGCCCTAGGAATTATCCAGGTTGCTGCCTTTTTCTTTTTTTTTCTATTCTTAATTGTCTTTTTCTTTCATTTAATTGTTTTATTTTTTCTGAGGTCTAAGGGGATGAATCTGGTCACTTTCTTTAATTTTAGGGCCTATTTTCTTTAAATTGGGATTAATTGCGTTAAGAATATTTAAGATTTTAATATGTATATAAAAGTTGATTTTTTTTATGTATGTATTTTGTATGATTTGGCATATATATAATTTTTTGATAAATAATATTTAATTGACAATTTTTTATTACATGTAACTAAAGCAACTAAGATTAATTATTTAATCAATCAATTATAAAATATACTAATGTAGGGATTATATATCATGTGAAACTTCTTATTGGAAAGACTTAGTCATATATTTGTAATGCACGTATTCTCATAATCCTATTCATATTATAATAAAAATAAAATATTGACTGTTATTTTTAAAAAAAAAATATACGCAAATATTCTGTAAAAATAAAAATATAATTTTTTAAAATATTCTTGACACAGAATTCAACAATTCAAAATATATAACTACTCACAATAAAATAATGCAAGGTCTATCAATAAAAATTAAAAATACCATATTTATATTATATCTCAAATAAAATAATCCACAATTTTTTCATAATTTATGCAACTATCAAAGTTTAATAACACCAAACACAACATCACATTAGGTATAGCAATTACTTTTTCTTGTTCAACAACCAGCCAAAAAAATGTCAAATTCTATGCTAATTAATATTTTTTTTATAGAGGCATTATATTAGTATTAATTAATATAGCTTGTATCTTTCAGGTTTCAAATTTTAATTTAATTAATCATCAAAAATAGCTGCACATTTTGTTATTTTGCCCTATTGTTATTATAATTACCTGTATATGACAGAATGTTTAGCCGACATGATCAAATTTTTTTAGTTGATTAATTATTGTATATTCTCATGGTCCAAAAATAATTTTCATTATACTAGATTAAATATGTACAATTTTCTTATGATATTAATGTAGTTTAATTTTTTTAGTAGAAATAATCTTATGGCTCTTATAAAAAGAAATATTAAATAATCATCAATTTTAATTTATCCTATATACAATTACTTATTGAATTTCTCTTTTAAGATAATAATAATAAGGGATTTATACTATGTGAAAAGAATATTTGTGATATTTTTTGAATATGTAATAAGGTGATAACTCGTGAAAATATCGTATCGTGTTTGATTGGTTTTTTTTTTTAGTTTGATTGAATTGATCTAGAAGTACATTTAGAATTAACGAAAAAAGCAGCACATCAACTTATTTTCATTATTTTTCGTTATTGCGAATAGCAAAACAAAATCAGCAAAGTTCCATTGTATTTTACTTTTACATAATCTCAATCTATAATAAAATGTTACGTACTTGAATCTTGTTAGACTCAATTAAATTAAAAAAGTAAAAGCGAAGAAAATAATAAAAATTAAATTTCACCGAAAAAAACAAAACATTTATAATTAAATAATTTAATAAAAATATTAAGTTAACGATAATAACGATATACCCAATATTACCCCCACCAATATCGAAGGAGGAATTGACTAAATCGACATAATATTCAGAAGAAGAAAAAAACTAGCCGCAAAGTATTGATTTCTGTAGAAATATCAACTGCAATTATTCAGTTAATTAATTATTAATTAATATAATTCAACTTGATCAATTTTTTAATCAAAATATCAGATTTTCTTTTTCAGATTCACATGCAGATTTCATCACAATGGACCATTACTCATATCCCATTATTCTAGGAGGAAAAGAGAGTTAATAATAATAAATTAGTTATACAAGCAAAGTCTGATTTTGTTACAAAATTGAGCCCATTATTTTATTCTATTGTTTATTCGATAATCAATATTTACGTCAAAAATAATTAATTTAAATTCACATTAAGTAAGATTACAAAATCAGGAGAAGTGTTTCGTCAAGATTCTCTTCATACATATTTAATATTTTGTTTGAATATGAAACCGTTAATTAAAAGTGAAATCATACAAATCGATAAATAATCTTCTTTTTTTTGTGAAATATGGAGAGAATAGTACTTTGGATATATATGAAAAACACATACACACTATTAATGGGACTTTAGGTATACAAACATACACATATATACACACTCATTAATGGGATATATATAAATAGTTTAGGAAATTTACTTTTTATGTGGAATTGGACATATAATTTATGAACGAAAAATTATTTAAATATATATATACTATTTTATTATAATTTTTAAAATTTTTATTTTTTTTTCAAAAGAAATTTTCTCTTGAATATATCACTTTCCTATCGCTGAGACATCCCGATCCCTCTCTCGAATACATTCCTCCAATCAGTATCCGGGTGTCAAATCTCCTCTATGGTATACATCTCTATCTCCTCTCTGATACATCCCTCTCTTCTTGGATACAACCTTCTCCTATACATTCGAAAGTCCAATGATATATCTGAAGTCCATAAATTTTAAATGATTTTTGTAATTTAGAAATATAGTAAGGAAATAATGTAATTAACTATTTAACACTACGAGCTTTATG